TATGGCACAGTTTGAGGGGACAGCCATTTGTACTGGTGTCTGAAACCATCGAGTGCACTTTGTACAACCAATGTACACTCAACGGCTAGAGAATACCCATAATGCACTGTGAGGGTCGTGCCAAATGAATACATGCTAGTTTCCACAACAGAGTTCAAGATAAATCTTTTCATTACTGGATCTGCCAATTTGCTAAGTATTGAATGATTATTAAACAGCAACTCGGTGTCTGAATTCGCTCACTCATTTTCATGCACTCCTTCAACTGGACTATATCAGTGGACTAATGTAGGGAATAGTGAATGAGTGTATAGGGGCGATTTTGAACACAGCCTTTTTCTTCTGCTTAGCTGACTCTTATTGGTAATAGCATCACTGCTTGTTGAGGCCTTTGACACCAACTGGTCTATAGGCTGGTTTGTTTACCACCTGCTGCAGTTCATAGCAAATATTTTATTTATTTGTTTATTTTCGGTCCATTTCATGCTAGACACATAATGGACATTCTTGGATTAGGTCAGCGATTTTTTTTGCATGTCGTTGTAGGTCATTCGTGTTGGTATGCAACTGGCTGCTGCACTGCACAGACCTGACTGTGGTTAAAGGTACAGTTCACCCAAAAATGAAAATTAATTTAGTCACCCTCCACTTTCCAAACGTATGAGTTTCTTTCTTCTGCTGAACACAACGATATTTTAAAGAATGTTGGTAACAAAACAGTTGACGGTAACCATTGACATCTATAGTAAATTTTTTCATACTATGGAAGTCAATGGCTACCATCAAAATATCTTATTTCTGTCGAACAGCTAAAATAAATTCATACAGGTTTGGAATAAGTGAAGGGTGAGTAGTACATGATGACAGAATTTTCATTTTTGGGTGAACTATGGCTTTTAGATATACAGGGCAAGTGAAATTCAGGGGGATCAGTCACGTGACTTTTTTGTTGCGGCCGCCATCTTTAGGACCTTGCGTAGCCTCTCCTTGGTAATCGGAATCCAAAATAACACTTCACCAACAACGGAAAACAATGGTATTTTTAAAAAATTGATACTTTAGGATTATATCCTTATTTACTGTCAAGTGAACTGCTGACTCCACTAAAGTCTAGTGAAAACTTACCAACTTGACGTTTGCTGATAGGCTGTTTACATCTACCTCATACACAATCCCTCTCCGTACACTCGGGCCATTTTCAGTTAAATTTTCACCTGCTAGAGACTTGTCCATCGGCCCGGATCCATCTGCAGCACCCGGCCTGGATGCTTGCGTAATCACTTTCGGATTCTGGGCCGAATCAACCCAGATGCGACAGCCGTAACTTACCGACACTGCGGCATCCAAGACGGACTCGGCCGTTGCGCAGCATGCCAGACTTAGCACAGTTTCATTTCTATATTTACTGTACTGTTCATTAATATTTAATTTAAAATTAATAACGTTACCTAGACAAAACGTTTACTTTCATTTTAAGTATATAGATTATAATACATAAATAACATGACTTAACAAATCTATAAACATCTCATTATTATGAAAGCAATTTTAAAATCCATTAAATAACTAGCTTGACCAAGCTGGCATGAGGAAAATTAATTTACAAAATAATTTATTTACAAAACCATGCAATTACAGCAAAAAAGCAGCAGTTATACAATAAGTGTAGATAAAATATTTAACA